CGTCGGTCTCGGCCTCGGAAGGCCCTTCCCAGGCGCCGAGCCCCGCGCGCGCGGGGGTCGCGCGCGCAGCGCCCAGGCTCTCCCAAGGTAGTCGTCGCCCCTCCTCGCCCGCGCCCTTCCTCCCCTGAGCGCCCCAGGTCCTCGACTCCATCGTCTTGCGGCATCTCCCAGGCGGCATCGATGATCGACGGCGCCGTGCGCGGGGCCGCGCGGGAACGCGCGGGGCGCAAGACGCGCGAGGCCCGAATCCCGCCCTCCCCCCTCCTCGCTCTACTTTCAAGGGGAACGCTCGGGGGAACTGGCCGAGGGGGGTGGAGGGGGGGGCGCGTCGACCCCCCATCGCCACGACATCGCCGAAAAAAGGCCGATAGCGTGCCCCGCCCATGGGCGCGCTGCTGCGCTATCGGGAACCTACCGCTATGTCGCTGGTTCAAGCTCGATATTTCCACTCGCAGGCTGCCCCTCCGCCCCTTGCATTGCCCCTCGCTTTCTCCTCTCTCCTGCTCCTGCGTGTCCACTTCTTCTGGCCTCTTTACCAATTTGACTCCAGATCCGCTGTGCTTTGGACGTTGGGCGATTTCACATATCAAGTGACAATCACCGCCCTACTTTCAGGCCCCGTTGATGCCGATGTCCGCCGGTTCTCTCGTCGTTTTTTTTTTCGCCCGAATTTTGCACGCATCTCAGCCATGCGATTCTGAGACGGGAATTGCCGCCCAATTGTGTCGCATTGTTTCCGGCACAAGATCAAATCGGCAAATCAACCAAAGGACGAACCACGGATCTGGATGCGAGCAATTTTTGGGGACGCGCAACTGTTCTGAATGGCGGACTTCCGCGTTGAAAGTGTTTTTTCCGTCGCGCCTGCGCTGACCAATGCAATGTTTCTCCCGGACCGGCCCGAGTGGGCCGAAGAGATTTGCAGGTGGCGCCCGCTTTCGTCAGCGCAGCAAATTCCTTTTGAGTTGTCGCTCGTGTCCTCCCTCCATCCTCACTTCCACGCTCTCCTTGCCATTGCTGCTCATTCTTCAGCGACGGGGAGTCTCTGGCCATCGCTCGGACGTCCATTTCCTGTGTTTTTTTCCGTTTCGTGCGTGGTTTTTTCGCCAAATGATCAAGGATGCTCCTCGATGGCCCTCGCCGAGAAAAAATGCACACGTCCGAGCGATGCCAAGGTCTCCAGCGGGTCTCACGGCATGCCGCTCGCGCGCGGGCGTGTCATGCAGCTGCGCCGATCTGCAGGTGACCTCCGCCCGCAGACGGCACCGCCTCTGCTGGCCCAGACTTTTTTGCTCCTGCAACGGCCAAAATGGGTCGAAGAGAACGCGCCCTTCCGCTGCCCCTCTTCTCTTCCCCTCTTGCTCTCTCCCTCTCGCCCGTCTCCCTCGTTTTCGTCATCGTCCCGGGGTCTTTCTGGGCGCAGCCGGGGCGATCTTGTCCTGCGCCCCATCGACTTGTTCGCCCCGTGTCTCACGAGGGGCGGGGGGGTCGCAAAGGATTGAGTTGCAGATATGGTGCAAGTTTTCGTGTCCCCGTCGCGTGGCCGTTGGAGTGCCCCTGATGGCAAACGACCTTGGGCCAGCTTCTTGGCAGCAGCCCGCGTCGTGCATCTCGAACTTCAGCAGAAATGGCGACGGGGAAGAGGAGTAGGAGCAGGACTAGGTCGGGCGTGTCCCCCTGCAGGCGGATCTTGGACGATACATGAAAAATGCTCCAAAATGTTCAAACAATAACAACAAATACGAAACAATCGTCCCCATCCCATTTTTTGACTATTTTTGGATACTCCCCTAGAGGGACAGGCCCAACTTAAGAGCAGGAACGGGAGGACTGGGGGGAGAAGGGGCACGAGGAGGATCAGGACCAAGACAACGACTGTGAGTTCGAAAACCTTCGCCGGCGACGTGCAGTGCTGGTTGGGGCGGCAACGGAGCCGACACAAAAAAAGTCGCATACCCCGGGAAAATAATGAAGAGGAAACTGATCAGGGAATCATGAATCATGAAGAGGCAGGAAAGTAAGAGGCGACGGGAGCAGGGCCTCTACAATCACAGGGACGACGATTATTACAGTGAAGCGCGTTAGGGAGATCATCATGCGGAGTCCGACCGTCGGAAACATTATCTTTGTTCGTTGGAGCCTGGGCGTCGTCCGAGGGGCCGACCAGCTTCAGTCCAGCAGACAGCGCCGCCTTCGGCGGCGCATCGCCCTCTGCTTGCTCGGTCGCGTCCATGAGGACCAAGGACATATCCCAGTCCGGGGACAAGTCCGCGATGGCGTTGCACCAACTGGAATCCCGCATGTTCACGTGCTTGATGGCAATGGACTGGTATGCGGCGTCCATGAAACCACACTCTTCCCCCAATCGCGTGATGTGGTCTACGCCGCCCAATCGCAAATTCGCCTTGTTGTAATATGCGGGGCCGTCTGTGACGCCCAGCTTGGATCCCGTTGCCACCGCGATAGCGGCAGCCAAGGCAAGACTCGTGAAGACAGACATTGCCACGTTCGTAACCTGCTGGAGGTTAACAAGCTGAATGTGATACAGTCAGACCAGGAAAACATGTGACTGTATCCGACGTGCGGAGGTGGGAACGAAACGAAGGCGAAGGGGTGCAGATACTGTAGCTGGATCACCCACTTCCACAACACCTGGCACGCTGGGGCATGTTAGAATACCGCTGAGCTGTCTGGCAAGCGACTGTGGTTCCCTGGGGACGACCACCTACGCCGGATCCTCCTTGAGAGCTTGCCTTGCCTACCACGTCCTCCCTGGCGTGCTCCTCGGCCCCCAAAGTAAGCCAAGGATCCTGAGTTGCCCCTGAAACCCACCGGCTTTCTGGCCTTTGGGCGGAGGTGGTTCAAGGCACTGCCCATTCGCAGGGCCCGAACAAGAAAACACTCTGGCGAAGGGAAACGTTCACGTGAACAGAAAAAGAAACGTCGGCATACGGTCGGGGCCTTGACAGGCAAACTGCGAAACAATTAAGGAACGCGGAGCCCCTCCCCAACGAAAAGGGTTCCTTCTTCAGGGCCCCGACTGTACACACAGACTGTCAAAAGCCCGAGTGGATTCTTTGGATCGGCAGTGGCCACTGTGGCTCCCCCTCCTTGGAGCGCGGAGGGCGCCACGGGCGGCGTCGGAGGGGCCGCCGGGGGTGCCCAGCGCCGATCCAAGAAATCCGCGCGGACCTCAGACAGGTTATGTTTTCCCTGAACGGGCCCAGGGACACACAAATAACTACAGACAAATTACAGGATTCCCCATATCATCTTACATTTTCTGGACGTTCGTCTTCCCCCCCACTTCCCATATGTTCGCATGTTTTTCCTGGGAGTCGACGATTAATTGTGTCTGTCTGTTTTTACCCGGCCTGATTCTGCTTACACATCCGTCGGAAGAAGGAGGTAGAACCATGAAGCAGGAAGGCGTTGAAAGTAGGTTGGGTCTCCGCCCGCCCCCTGAAGGGGAGGGAAGAAGGGAAGCCACTCGATCACTGAAGCAGGAAGGCGCTCAAAGTAGATTGGGATCTGGGAATCAAGAGATGCCTACTTTCAACGACCCAGTGGGTATGCACTTGTGCCCTCTTCGAGCGTAGTCGAGGTGCAATCGAGGCGCGCGGTTCCTTACAACCCCAGCACCACCGCCGGCAGGCCAGCCAGGCGGGGCAGTGTCGGAGCTCGCCGGGGTCGCAGCTGGAACTTTGAGCCGACACAGCTACGCGAGCAGCGGAGAGGGGCAGGAGAGAAGCCTGGCGGCGCGTACCGATGCGTCACGACCAAGAAGCGTCGAATCGGGAAATCACATCGAATCGGAACGTGTGTCGGATCGGCCGGCACGGAATCGAAATCAAATCGGATCGGCCGTGTGCCAAGATGCACATCACCACCATGCAAACATCGGGCCGCATCGGATTGCGGAAATATCGGAATCGAATCGGATCGTGCTGGCCGTAATCGATATCGAATCGATCGGATCGACATGGTTCCTGGGGGGCGGGGGCGGCATTCTCAGAATATGAGAGCCCCGCAAACATACCCAAAACATTCTGGACGGCGGCATGAAGTCTACGCGCAACATATCTCACTCTCGGGATAGAGCGTGAGATGAGGGTGCACGCAATTTTGTTGCAATGCGCGGGGGACGTAACGGTCAATCCCGTCCGGAGAAGAACCAGTCGGGAATCAGGGGCCGATTTCAGCGAGGGGGGAGAAGAGGGGGAGGAAGAAGAGGAAGAAAAAGAAGGATAAAGATAATAGCATAACGCGTAGGAATAAGAACCGTAATACTAATAATAAGGCGAGATAAATAATACGAATATTACTGTGAGTTAGAGTGATCGTACGATAAGCAATGATAACAGTCATACGAAAAAGAGCAAGGCGAAGCCCTCAATGCTGGAACATTAAAGGGTATGTAAGCAGTGCGTCGAGCCGTGAAGCGAGAAGATCGATGGGGGGAGGAGCAGAAGTGAGGCAGAAATGGGTAAATCGCGAGGCAAGGGGGACCCCGCCCAGCTTCTGAGAAGCCGTCTTGGAAGCCTCCAGGCCCCTCTGAGAAGGCATGTAGGCTTCTACCAGTCCTAAATCGTTCCCGTCCCCGTCCTCGTCCCGTCATCTTCCTTGTCGTCGTCGTCGTCGCCTTCACCGCCGCCGCTGTCTTCGTCTTTGTCTTTGTCGTTGTCTTTGTCCTTATCTTCGTCTTTGTCGTCGTCGTCCTCGTCATCCTCGTCGAGGTGGGCTCGAAGTTGTCGTCGTCGTCGTCGTCGACCCGCCCCGGTGGGCGCACACCCCTGCCTTCCAAGAGATCCACCGCCTTCTTGCCAGGGCCGCCCCTCTCGAGCCACCCCTGGAAGGGAAGAGAAAGGGGACCATGGCAAAGACTGAACGTGGAAACGTTGTAGATCTTGGTCGCCGTGGATCATCCACCCGAATCAGCGACGGCTGACATGGACAATGACCAAAATCGACATCGACACAATCCCGCGACATCTTGGTCACGGTCCGTGCTTCGTCTCTCGAACCCCCGTTCTCGTGCTTCCAGGGAGGAAGGGGCCAGGAGTCCGAGGCACTCGCCGAGCAGCCCAAGACATCCGGCGTCTCGAAACAAGATCGAGACGGATGTGTTTCATCGTTTTCGGCCCCTCGCGGCCCTGACTGGGCCTCGGGATAAAAACACCGGTCGTGGGAAGTGGTCGAGATGTCTGGGGCCGGCGTCTCGAACAAAGATCGAGAACGTCGGATTGTCTGGGAGGGCTCGGCTACCCAGTCGATGCTCGGCCGAAAAAGTCGGCCCACGGCGTAGAAGCAGCTCGAGTGGCCAACGTGATACAGTGGAGGCCAGTCCACCAGAAACCTTCCTCAAGAAACCCAGCCCGGAGACCCCAGAACGTCCATGTCCATTGCTTTTTGGTGTGGCGACGTCGCGCCTTCCATAGCAAAGCCATCGAAACCCGAGAAGCCCAGGGAGCAGCTCGAGTGGTCAACGTGCCACACGGGGGGACGCACACGTAGCACCTGTAGAGGACCTGCACTGCGTGTGCCAGCCCCCCAGCCCGCGCGCACGGGAGGACAGCCCCCACTCGGTGTGCCATCTTGAAGGGACCCTGGGACACACAAATAAACACACACAAGTCAAATGATTCCCAATATTTTTCCATATTTTCTGGGTTTCTTCTTCCCCCCCACTTCCCATATCTTCCTGTATGTTCGGGGGAATCGACGATTAATTGTGACTGTGTGTTTCTTTCTCTCCTGACATCTGTCGGGCCCCTTTTTCAAGGCGTCGTGAATCAGAATGTTCCCCCCCCCCCATGAGGCGTGTGCCATCTGCCTGGCGCGACCGTGGGAAGGGGGGTTGTCCTAGGTCGGGCCTGTCCCCCTACAGGCCGACTTCGGACGAAGAACAAGCAATACGCAAAAATATACAACAATAGATAGGAATACTGAACATATGTCCCCCGACTACTTACGAAGGACGAGAGATTTTCCTCTTGAGGTGAAAATGGCCCTGAGGAGTTCGCGAGAGAACGTCGGCGCCGCCGAACGGACGGCGACCGGACGAGTTGTTTGCAGCAGCTGGGGGGGAGAGGGCTGCATGTATTCATGTTGAATGGGGCCCGCTCGCGCGGGGAGTTGATGGAAGTGCGCGAGACGACGCAGGGCCCATCGTGGAAAATTGATTACCGAACCCCCTTCCCCCGTAGAATCTTAACACGGGCGGTTTGCGGGGTCCGCGGGTCCGATGTCCTCCGGTCCCCTTTTTAAAAATTAATCATACGAATTTTTAAACAAAATAGAAATCGGATCCGCCGTGAAAGCTAAGGTGGGACGCGGATCCGGGAAAATCCGAAATCGGAACCGCGCAAACAGAAACCGGATCCACCGAAACACAAACCAACATCAAAATTGGATCAGCGCGAACTTCATTGGATACGACGGCGGGTATCTCATACGCGTCTGCTCAAGACTTCAAACCTTCGCTCCAGGCCCAGGAGGATTTTTTTTTCGTCCTGGGGATGGGAGTTTTGGCCTTCGGACATGTTGGTTGCCACGTTGCCCATGCACCACACCTCACCACAATTCCCCCGCAACGTGCAGTCAGGAGTTCCCGCTCGAGACGTCCTCGCAACACCCGCCCGATGACGAAGAATTTCCTCTTGAGGTGAAAATGGCCATGATGAGTTCGCGAGAGAATGTCGGCGCCGCCGAACGGACGACGACTGGACGAGTTGTTTGCAGCAAGGGGGGGAGAGGGATGCATGTATTCATGTTGAATGGGGGCCGCTCGCGCGGGGAGTTGATGGAAGTGCGCGAGACGACGCAGGGCCCATCGTGGAAAATTGATTACCGAACCCCCTTCCCCCGTAGAATCTGAACACGGGCGGTTTGCGGGGTCCGCGGATCCGATGTCCTCCGGTCCCCTTTTTACATGTAATCCTACTAATTTTAAACAAAATAGAAATCGGATCCGCCGTGAAAGCTAAGGTGGGACGCGGATCCGGGAAAATCCGAAATCGGAACCGCGCAAACAGAAATCGGATCCACCGAAACACAAACCAAAACCAAAATTGGATCAGCGCGAACTTCCTTGGATCCGACGACAGGTATCTCATACGCGTCTGCTCAAGACTTCAAACCTTCGCTCCGGGCCCAAGAGGAAAAACTTTCGTCTTGGGGATGTTTTTAACTATGTTTGAATTTCCCCCCTGTACAGGGACAGGCCCGACTTAAGAGTCGTCTTGGAACCCTCTTCGGCCGTCGTTGGGACCTCCTGGGCAGTCATGAAGGCCACTTTGGCTTTCGCCCCGCGCCTCGGTGGACCCTTCTGAGAAAGGGCCCAGGGACACACGAATCAATAAACACAAATCCCAGGATCCCCCATATGTTCATCTATGTTTTGGTTTTTGTCTCCCCCCCCACCTCCCACTTTCTGCTTTCCCTCCCAATCCCCCCCAATATTTCCCAACCATCTTGTTGTGTTGGATCCTCGTTTTGAAG